AAACTAATAGATAAAGTAAAATCAAGCAAGCAATAACATATGTTCATCAACAAAAAAACTAAATAAGGAAAGAAAAATTATCAAAGAATATAATTTTGGCTGCCAAGAAATTTGAGAGAGGAACTTAGTCTCAAAGAGATTGCGAAAAAGATGTCCAATTTTTTTACCATCAACCATTGAGACGCAAAAGCAATCAATTTTTTTTCCAAATTAAAAAACCATAACTTATAAAACTGTCATAATTAAGGAAACAAAAAAATTGAGAGTTAATATTTATAAATTTGATTGCCAAAAAAAGTCAAAAAGTTAAAAAGTCGCTATCCTATTTAAGTTATATTATCTTATTTAAGTCACATCACTTCTCTATTACATTACTTCAAACCCAACCCATATTTTATAAAAAGTCAAAATGTATACTTATTTAGAACATTCCAAACAACCCCTTATTATAAGTCCCAATCACCACCACACATTAAAAACAAATTTGGATTCAATTAATGGGTTTCTCAAACTTATACTATTCAGCTTGTTTGGCTCTGGTTTTCAAAAAATAATTTTTAGAAAATTATAAAGCATATGATAGCATGACCAAAGCTAAAAAAGCTTTTTACAGTGCACCAGCTATGCCTGTTTATCAAAAGAATTTTTGTCAAATGAGAACTAACCCAGTTCCAACTAATATTCAGACGTCTAGACCAGATGAATCTGAAATAAAAGATTTTTTCAATCCTGGTATATCCAGAGAAATTTATACAGAAGTCAATGGGGTTTGGAAAACTCACATTGTAGACAACAAAGTGAAATTTCGAAAACACGTGGGAGTTTTGGCCAACAAATTAGCTGAGCAAACAGCTAAGTTAAAAGATTTATAAAATCTTTGTTTCAATATTCTTAAACAAATGAATTGGAATGAAGATTTTAATTTTGAAAAAATAAACAATTTTCTTCAACTATCAGACCTCATATCAGCTGAGTTTTCTGATCCAGTTTTTGAACAAATAAAACGAATTTGTCTTTTTGAAAAAGCAATAACTTTGCTTCCAAAAGAAATTTTTATGTTAATCAAAAATCGGGTTGAAGATCATTATGATAAGATTAGACAAATCTTAGAATGATCTTATGATAAATTAAATTTGAAAGATGGAATTCCCAAAATAACCATCATGGCAAACCATGACATGTGGTATTTTGAAGATATAGATTGGGGAATAACTAATCAAGTTATTTTTCAAATTTTAGATCCAATTTAATGGATAGATTATCCAATGATCATCAAAACAATGCTCTCATGGATAGTAAAAGGCTTTCGATGGAGCAAATATTTTACTTTTTGGATCTCTAGTACTGTTGGTTGGCGAGAACGAGAACATTTTTTCCAACCATACCAGATTTGGTATCTTAAAGAAACTGAAGATTTTGAATTTGAAGATGATTATTTAGATGAAGATCACCGGAGAGAGCGATTGGAAAATATCCAAAAACTTTCTTTAACAGAATATTGGATAGACAGTCTAATATCTGTTTCACAAGCAGCGTCCAACATCCATGGCTCAGCAAAATTGCCATTCATGGTTACAGATGGAAGAATATTATTTGTAACTCATTTTCCCATAACATATCAAAGGTCTCCTACACAAATTAATGAGGCTCTTGACATGTTAATAAATCTCAAAAAGAGAAATAATTTGGATCTTCCGTTGGAACTAGCCATGACCGCGGATGATGTAGAACATTTCCGGAATGAGCAATACAGCCAAGATCCGGATTCCCCTCCATCAGAGACTGATGAAGAATATCACAATCTCATCAACAGGATGGAAGCATAGTGGACCCCACTATCACAAGCATCTGTCTCCTGATCGACTCCAACCTTATCCAGGACACGTGGAGCAACCTGCATTATTTGGCGGAAAGTGATCAGCCACATCATTTCAGCTGACGCTACACGACAAATCAGCTTAGCCAGAGCTTATCTACAACAGTCTATCTCTTTGAAAACCGAGGAGGGTAGACAGTGTGTTATCAGTGTATATAATTGTAAAAACTGTAGCGAAGAGCAAATAATTGTAGTCCTTTTGTCTTTATTTTTGTCTCTTTGTATTTACTTTTAGATAGATTTTTCAAAAAGCCTATGACTAGGCTTGCCTAACTAGTTAGAAAAATTGACAACTTTTAAGACAAAAAGTCTTACAAAGTTAGATATAAGTTAGATATGCAATAAGTTCTATTTTGTTTGTATTCTCTTCTTGTAAGACTATATATTGGCCTTTATGCCAACATAATGGGGTATGTAAATTCTCTACAAATTATCTCCATCTTTTTGCTTCTCTATTCTTATTCTATAACTCCACCATATTTCCAAAATAATTATAAAAAGAAAATACCCTATTTTCCAAGAAGAGTAGCCAATGAGTAATACGGATTTGCTTTTTAGAGCTTGTTTGGTTGTGATTTGTTTTTATTTTCCAAAATAATTATAAAAAGAAAATACCCTATTTTCCAAGAAAAGTTCGGCTGCATAAAAATCATTTTCTACACCCTACTCACAATTGGTAGGATTCTCCTCCTGAAGGGGACAGTCCTCCTGGAGGCGACACTCCTCCTAAAGCTTGACATATTTAAAATACAGAAAATGCACATAAAAAGTGTAATAATGTGCAGTTGAGATTTATTTTGAGTAGATTATGCTTAAAACTAAACCACACAATGCATTTTCTGTAATATTTTTTTTTTAAAAAAAATTGTGCATGTAACATTGTGCTGAATAAACGTGTATTCATGTACTAATAATTATATAAACATAACATGCATGCATACTGCTATGAGAAGATTTCATTAATGTAAGCTGTGGTTGAATTCATGACAAATTCAAGACAATTCTATTAAGTGATAAATGCATAGTAGAGTATTAATTATTTGTGTTGAGTAATTGAGACACACAAGGGGACATAATAAATAGTTATTAGTGAGAGAGTAACCATGCGGTACTCCGGGACTATTGCATAATTTTTTCTTCATATATATATATTAGTGTATGCATGTACCTAAAAGCACGATATAAATAAAATAAGTGAACAAAAAGGGAAAAATAAAAAAATAGGGAGGAAAATAAAAAAGGGGGGGAGGGAATAAAAAAATAAAAAGGAAATAGGGAGGAAGGTGGGCTGGAGAGAGAATACATGAGTGAATAAAAATGGGCGAAAAGATAGAAGGCGAGTGAGTAGGTAGGAGAGGGAGGTAGAGAGAGAATGCATGAGTGAACAAAAAGGGGAGAAAAAGAAGAGAAAATAAAAAAATAGGGAGGTTAATAAAAAAAGGAAAAAAATAAAAAAATAAAAAGGAAAGAGTGAGGAAGGTGAGCTGGAGAGAGAGAATACATGAGTGAATAAAAATGGGGGAAAAGATGGAAGACGGGTGAGTAGGTAGAAGAGGGAGGGGGAGGGGGAGAGAGAGAGAGAGAGAGAATGCATGAGTAAACAAAAAGGCGAGACAAAGAAGGCAAATGAATGAAAATTAAAGAAATCTTGACTCTAGGATGAATTTGAAAATTTATCTCAACCATTGATACAAAATGTATCTTAAACATTTTGACACATTTTCAAAAACAATTATATATATATATAACCCATCTGTAACTATTATATGCCAGAAAAAATCATCTTTGTAAACGAGATACTAAGATGAACAAAACTGGAAGAAAGAAAATAGAATAGAGCTAAAGGCAAACCTAATCCTCCTGAAGGCAGTGAACCAACTTCTCCTGGAGATGGAGATGTAGATGGAGATAAACGGGTGGGTGAAATGGATGAGCAAACAGTCGCTCCCTATGTTCACTCCCTAGCTTTTAGACCAACCTGCTATAATAATTCCATAGACATCTAGCAAAAGATACAGCAAACACAAACTGTGAAATTTCACAGTTTAGAATGCCAGCCAGTCTTGGCGGTCCTGACAAATTAATAAGGTACGGGCTGCCAAAACGTGCATTACTCCGGACAATAATCAAAATAAGAATACCAAAGTATAGTTACAACAGCTTTAGCAAACAGATTGAATTAACACTCATTGAGCAATAGCTTTCTCTTATGCAGAACAACATTGGCAAACCTAAAGATTTCAAACAGCAGTGGAGAAGAACACTAAATGTTTTATCGTAGATCATTGATAATTCAAATTTCCCCATTTTTGTGTCTTAATGTAGCCATAAACACGGAATATTTTCCACAACAGTAACTGGTCTACGGACAGTTTTCAATTCACAAATTTCAACAAATAAAACGAGTTTCAACGTTAAGGGTAGAACAACCTAGCTTCAGAGAAAGATTTTGCCTCATTCTGTTACATTCTCGTTTTCTAATTACTCAACTTCCTCCAGGTAATCAGCAATTTCAGATGGTGTTAGTACTCTGCAATGGAAACAAACATGCCAGAATAATCATTCTCCGAGCATCAACATCGAAATGATCATAAAAGTTCAGTCAAACACTCAAAACACCAGGAAAAAGGATAACTTGCCTGAATTTTTTATCAGTGCCAATTATGCCAATCTCAATGTTCTTTCAGAGATCTGTCCTTCAAATCTGGGACAAATATGCAGAAAGAAGAGTTATATTCTTCATTAGTTGGTGTGTTAAGCATGCACTAGTGGGACCAAATACCAAAACATTCCTCCATGGAAGGCTCATGAGAGGACAAGCTCAAAGCTAGCATGAATTTTAGATTCATTTAGAACGGTACATCTTTTAATATAAGTGATTGCTATTTAGACAACATAATTCTTACCCCTCCTTTAAAGTCAAGATTGCTGTGTGGACAGCATCATTGAGCTCCATATCATCTGTGTACCTGTAAGAAGCACCAACCTTCTCCACAGCCGCAACAGAAGAGTCATCTCCTCCAATCTTGGCATCAGTCTGTTCATATAAAAAAACAAAACAAATCCCACTCAGTTACACATAATACTCTTCTTCTATCCATGGAGTCTAGTAGTGCCTTGTTAATAGAGAAGACTGGAAAGGGGTTTCAACTAAAAGCACTCTCCATACATATCAAAGGGCGGCTAGACCATCAACAATAGATTTAAATAATTGAAAATTAGTGAAAACCCTAATTTTGGGGATCCCCATGACTCCCAAAATGATCGAGACCACTCAAATGTTTTCTTTTTTTCTATCTATCTCACATGAGTGGTCCAGATGATTTTGGAGGTCATGGGGGTCTCCAAATTTGGGGGTCTCAATCATTATTGTTAAATAAGAGCATGTAGATTGTTTATAAATATATACACACCTCTGCCTCTTCTGAAAACTTGGCGAAATTGAAAACGGCCATAGGTCCACTGTCCGATCTCATACAACCATCAGTGATACTAGATGCTGCAACGATACCAGATGCTGCAACGATCTACAAAACATATTAAACACTGTTTTAAACTCCCCCTTGTAGCAACAGCAAGAATTATCAAATAAAGAGTTTTGATGAACAAGAAAAACCAAAACCATGCAAATCAGATTAAAAAGGACAGAACCTTCTTGGCTTTTTCCTTCGCCTTTACTTCAATCATGCAGCACTCCTTTGTGGCCCTTTGATCACCTCGGATAGCTGCTATCCCCGTGTCGAGGTGAAACTTGAGTAACTGGTGGTAAGTTTAGGGTATTGCCCTCATCTCATGAAGCCAGCATCTACCAATGATAGCATTGTATCGAGAAGATACATTTACCACCAGAAACAATGTCTGTACTGTTACTGGATCTACATAAATTGGAAGTGTTACCTCCCCCATGGGCTCCACTAGCACCCCGTTGAATCCACGCATCACATAACTGGTTGGCTTCAGGTCCTCCAGCTTCAGCTCGAGCATCTTGAACAAGTTGTTGTACATTACATTAACCGAGCTGCCCGTATCCACAAGGATCTTGTTCACTGGGTGATCACCCACCTCTAAGGAGATCACCAGAGGATCGTTGTGAGGAAGATTGTGGGTACTTGTATCAAGCTCAATACGTGGCAAGCCCTACAGGTGCCACATCACCAAAACCCCACCTACGTGGCAGACCAATAAGGCACCACGTCTGGCATGTCGTATGTTTGATACATGGCGAGCCCTATGGGCGCCATGTGCCAAGGCAACCAAAACTATATGCTTAGCCTAAGCGGGAGCATATATACAAGCCCAAATATATCTAGATATGAAGAGCCCTGCAACAGGCAGCACCATGGCCCCGCAGGGCCCATGGTCCTTCATACCTAGCTCCAAGGCCAAACAACAGTATAATCAGCCCCTGGCTCACTTGGACTTGGATTGATAAACAATGGCTCTCCTAAACATTGAGATAAGCCTGCGGCCTATTCTCCTACTTGGTCACTTGGAAGCGAGCCCTTGGCTCTCTTAAACACTAAGGTGGGCCCTGGCCCATTTATCTACTTGGATGCCTGGGTTGGAAGCAGGACCTAGGCACTACTGGTCGGGATCATCAGAGGATACTGGACTGGCGACTGAGGTCATGGGATTGTCGAGATAGTTGTCTTCTTGCTAAGACAACTCTATCTCGACCAGGCTTGGAGAAGAGGCAACAATGACCTTACGTTCATGTCATCCGATGCATATACGAAACGTTACTTTCTGCCTGCCATGAAATGTTGCTCTCCGCCTGCCGGCAAGCCACAGACGGCAGAAGAACTTATATCACTTCTGGCAGAGTTGAGGAGAACGAGCCACCTGTCCAACAGTTTGCTTGGGCTCCAATACTCCTGCGGCCTATATAACATATCATATATGCAGCGAGACATAACAACAACAATACAACCAAGTCTCATGCTTAAACACTCTCTCATACTTTACATTAGTGTTCAAAGGTCTATCACTGCCAACCTCTCCCTCTTCAAGTTTGCCTTGACCTCCTCCTCTCCACCTTCGGTGATCCCAAGCCATTGAAGTGCCCGCCATCTTCCCGGACTACCTCTAACCACACCTCTCACCCACAAAGATCTACCCCCTCCAAATCATCATCACAGAAGGATATTGAGGAGTCAGAACTTCCCTCACTTCTTGGTCTCTTCCCCAGAATATAGTACACCTAGTTTCAAACAAACACAGCATAACTAAATGATCTCAAAGATTTGAGTCTTTATCAGAAAGCAAAAGTGACAACTTTATGAAACTACAAACTGTAAGGAATTCGGCATCACAAATATTCTTACCCACAACATCATCAATACTGCACCCCACACACTCAACCTCTGGGAGAAGATCATGGCAAGGCACATAAACAGGATTACCCTTCCGGAGAAGCACATGAACATGTTTAACCGTCGGGAGAGAGGTACACGAACAAGATTAACCTTCTGGAGAGGCACACAAACCAGATTAGCAGAGAGTCACTTAAATAAGCATATCAAAGCCCACTACAATGTTGTTAGTATGTTACGATTCATTATACTTTATCTTTCGATTCGATACTTTTTTAGAGATAAATTGATATTATCATCAATACCCGACTTTTTTAGAAAGGAATTAAAAGTGTTCCTAAATTAATTAATGCTATAACATAAAAAGTCTTCCTATCATATAAATAATTAATGCTATAACATAAAAAGAATTTACTAGTTTTTGTTTTCAATTTTTTAGATTGGAAGTTTACTAGGTTAATGGGAAAGGATAGAAAGGAATTAAAAGTCTTCTCTAGGCTAGATTAATTTTAAAATGGGATTAAAAAAAAAATTGTTGAAAGAAAATATTAACTGACTTTTATTTTACCAATCAATTCTTTTGAAAGTAATTTAATCTTTTGAATGTAATGTTTTTGAAATCAAGAAATTAATTTTTCATTTTTTTTTAATCTTTTAACCTCTCACAAGGAGAGTATTGTGTATGAAGTTAATTACCAAGATATGATTGAATGTGTCAAATTAAAACAAATATATCCAAGAAAGTGACAACTTTATTACGCTTATTAACCTTTTCATTAGTTTACAACAAATTACTAAATCTACTTTCGCGTGTATCAATTGGTGTCAAATTAATAATTTTATTTTTGCATTTTACTCTTACCCTTCTATGAGTTCTTTTATTTTATTTATTTGTTATGAAGATATTATTTTAATAAAGGAAATAATTTTGGAGTCAAAACTTAATAATTACATATAAATAATTAATGCTATACCTATTATATTTTTGATGGCCAAGATTTTCTCGCCTTAATTAATGTAATGTATTCATGAGAAAATAGAATGAGAGTCAGATTAATAGATATAAAAAAAAAAGTAATAATAATAATGCTCCGTTTGGTTCTTGGTAAACAAAAAAACAAATAGAGAGACTGCACACCTAGAATTTATACTCAAAATTTTACTAAAAATAGTGGAGAAGGATGTTCATCAATGGTGGGACAACAAATCTGAAATCTATGGTGAATTTCATAATTTTGTTTTGTAATTAAATCTATCTATTCTGCTTCTGATGATCAAGAACACATGTCGTATATCCTTACTAGGGATAACCCGTGCCTGAAGGCACTATAAACAATCTTTTTTTAATACCACACGTACTAATATCACTCTAATTTTAAACTTCACATAGAAAGAGGAACAAAATATATAAAGAAAACTGAAATAAATAACTAATAAAGCAAACATAAAATATATATAGACACAATGTTTAAGTAAGAACACAAATCAAATTCTTACCATAATGTGTCGATATGAAAGGTCTTAAAGAAGTCCACAATGCTTCAGACACAATGTTTCAATCACAAACTGTAAACATCAATAAAGCAATTAAATTGGACAACATGCTGGCAACATTAGTGTAACAAACCTGCTAGAAATTAAAGATTATTGAAACAAAAGATATTCACAAATTAGAGTAAAGATTATTGAAACAAAAGATGCTGAAATAGGTGAGGTTTGAAGAGAGAGCAAGAGAGAAATGGCATTACCTTGATGGTGGTCCGTTGAAGAAAGAGCAAGAGACAAACAGGAAAAGATGATGCTGCAGAGCCGCTGAAATGGATTTCAAATAGGATGAGCTGCAACTTTGAGCAGTGCAGTTTCTTATTAAATTGAATTGTAAACTGAATCAAACATCTTGTCAAAGCTATCTAAGCCAAAATCATCACCATCAAAAATGATATAGACAAATGTTCCTTCAAAATTAAAAAACGGAGTTTTAAATAATCAAACTCCTCAAAAAATGCTAATAAGATGTGGTGTTTCACAAAAGAAACCAAAACTCAACATTTGAAACCAAAACTCCACTGCCATAATCACATTGTTCAAATAAAAGCTCCAACATGTCATTGATCAATTCAAAAAAGGCAACACCCAACTCACAACAAAAATAAATAGAAGGATATGATTCTAAGGTTTGAAAAAGGCATTTTATGAGAACAAATAAATAAAGAAAAAAGTATTTTAGGAAAACAAAAAAATTATGTGATCATTGAATATCCACTTCACTAAATGATGCAGAGACATTCATTCTATTTAAATACCCACTGCCCTAACATCCACCAAAACCACTCACAGTAAAGCTAGTGAGACTTCCACAATACACTTTGGACAAAAAAGATAAAGAAAACCTATAAAAGAAGGCGAAACTTAAGGGAAAAAGTAACCAAACATATGGAAGAATGTGACCAAATGGTTGAGGCAAATCATAAAAAATAAAAATAAAAAGCTCTAGCGATACTATTTTTTATTAGGAGCTACATTATTGGCCATTGCTCCAAAGTTCCTTCCACTCCCAATTTTTCCACTACTTACCCGTCCTATTTTGCTTCATTGCTCGTATTCTCTTTTATGCAAATGGAAAGGGGGAATTTTTTTTAAAATAAAAAATGAAGTGGCTAAAATAAAAATGAAATGAAGATATTTTTCCACTACTTACCAGTCCTATTTTGCTTCATTGCTCATATTCTCTTTTATGCAAATGGAAAGGGGGAATTTTTTTTATATAAAAATTGAAGTGGCTAAAATAAAAATGAAATGAAGATAAAAATACAACAGTGAATATATAAAACATGAGAACAAAATAAAATCAAAATAAAGAAAACATTTATTATATGAGTAATGAATAATTCTTCATGAGATGCAAAGCAAGTTCACCTTGATTTATCGGTAACTTGATTACCAACAAAAATAGAAAAGAAACAAAAGGAATATTAAACTTACATTTAGAACTACAGGTTTAATGTTGAATGCCCTGTCAAAAGACTCTGTTTTCCAAGCTGAAAACTTTCCATATCACAAATAATTTTTAAGAGTTAATTAAAATAAACGTTGAAAAATTCTTTGATACACATGGTGATTTTGGTTATAAAATAAACGTTGAAAAAATGTGTAGCATGCACCAGAATTCTAATGATTTGTGGCATTTAGTTATAAGATTTTGTGATGTTCAAATTTATGATGAACTTGGTTATTAGACTTTTTGTAGTGTTTATGGTTATAACCCATGGTGATTTTAGTTATAAAATTTTGTGATGTTTAATTATAAAATAAGTGACCTTAGTTATGAGGATTTATGATATTTTTTTAAGATTATGAACTACTGTGATTATAACTTTGGATGCATTTCGTTAAAAAGCTTTTGGGGTGTATATAAATTTAATATGACTTACTAGGTCATTCTATCAAAGACTTGCAATACATGACTTATTGGGTCATTCTATCAAACACATGTGTAATGATTGTAATTGATTTGAGTCCAGTAAACTCACACCAAAAAATAAAAAAACAAAACAAAAAAACATGATTGGTTGTTCAGGAAATGGGTTCTAGTTGTGTACCTATATATATTCCCCAAAATCAAAATAAGGAAAACTTATTGGGTCATTCTATCAAACACTTGCAATACATGACTTATTGGGTCACTCTATATGAAAAAGATGAACCAAAAATAAGATTAACAAAAAAAATAACAACAAACTAAGGGTTTAAAAATTGTCTGACCCAAAACAGAGCTGGCTAGATTAATATGGTAAAATAGACAAAAAAAAAAAGTAATGTAGAGAGAGGGATTGAGATGGGTTTATTGGGGCGGTTTAGAGGAATGGAGAAAGTGAGAAGATGAAGAGAGTAACGTAGAGAGAGAGAGAGGTGTATGTGTTCAAAATTTGAAAAAGTGTGAGCAATGAAGCACGGACACCTCTCCGAGGGCTCCGTACCAGTGTCGAACACGTGTCGGACACGGACACGCGTCGGACACGCGGTGGACACGTGTCCGACACGCACTAGAGAGTGTCCAATTTTTTTTTTATTTTTTCTGAAGCCGGACACGTCCAGGACACGTTATGGACACTTTCGGACACGCACGGGGCCAATTTCAGAATTTACAAAACATTTTTAGGGTCAATTTCAGAATTTATAAAATATTTTTGGGGTCAATCTGTAAAAAAGCAAAAAAAATTTTGTTTGCCCTAAATCAAAAGCCCTAAATCGATCTAAGAGGTTAGTAGAGAACAAAAAGAGAAAGAGAGAAGGCAGATAACAGAGGAGAAAGACAACCTGGTCGCTCGTCCGTCGCTCGTCAGTCGCTCGTCATCGGTCGTCGCTCGTCGTCGCTCCTCGGCCGTCGCTCGTCGTCGTAAGGTACACCTTCTTCTTCCTTCAGTCGATGTTTCTCTCTCTCTCTCTCTCTCTCTCTCTCTCTCTCTCTCAACGTCTTCTCTCTCTCTCTGTCTGAGTATACTTTTATTTTTTATTTTTTTTTTCATTTTATATTTTTTCCCCTCTATATGGTGTGCCTTATTTCAGAATATATATATATATATATATATTTATTAATTAGTTTTGTTATTGTCTTTTATTTTCAGAATATATATATATATATTAATTAGTTTTGTTAATATTTCTTTTTTCAGAATATATATATATATATTAATTAGTTTTGTTAATATTTCTTTTTTCAGAATATATATATATATATTAATTAGTTTTGTTAATATTTCTTTTTTCAGAATATATATATATATATTAATTAGTTTTGTTAATATTTCTTTTTTCAGAATATATATATATATATTAATTAGTTTTGTTAATATTTCTTTTTTCAGAATATATATATATATATTATTAGTTTTGTTAATATATATATATATTTTATTAATTTTGTTAATTTTAATAATAATGTGTGTTTATTAATTATGTTATTTCAATGTTTTTTTAATTATTTTTTAATAATTTTATGACATATAATAAATAAAATTAATTATATATATTGAACGTGTCCCCAGCGTGTCGTGTCCCCCATTTTTTGAAAATTTACGTGTCGGCGTGTCCGTGTCGTGTCGCGTGTCCGTGTCCGTGCTTCATAGAGTGTGAGTGTGTGTGTGTGTGTGTGTGA